CAATGAGATGATATATGATGGAATGAATGTAAAACTAAAGTTCTCTCATGTAAACTATCATATAATTCACAATAAAACATTAAAAAAAAAAAAAGTGAAACAGTGACATTTGCAAAAAGAGGTGTGGGGGGATTCTACACACTTTTTTCCTCCTCTTCCCGGTTGCGCCTTCTTTGTCCAGCCCAGAAACCTTCAGGAGGGTGGGTGGCACCCCACAAAAAAAAAGGTCCAGCATTGAGCCCACAGTTTTTCCCATGGCACAGAGAGAAAGAGCTATATCGGTCCCAAGGGCAAATTCTATGCCGGCTGCTGATAGCATCAACTTCTGGGTCGCAGCCCTAAAATAAACGTGTGCGGGACCTTTTACCCTGACATATCCAGCAAGAAAAAAGCAGGCCAGTCAGGCCTGACAGACAAACTACATGAACAAATCTGTAAAACCCCAACGGAAAAGGACGCAACTAGCTCGAGAATTATGCTGTGCACACGCAGATATCTAACTGACCTTCAGTGACAAAAACAGTAGACAATCCTTCTCCCATTAACTTCTCAATATCTATTTAGGCACCTCTACAGTGGTGATTAGAAGAGGGGCCTGAGCAAGTGGACACCCCCACCCATTGCTGGAGGCTTCTACAGTGCACACACACTGCCTGTGTAGCAAGTTGATTGAACAGTCAGCCACAGTTTTCTTTTTGTTTCAAAGTGGTGGTTTTTGTCTCTGTTTTTCTATTGTTTCTGCTCTTGGTCCTTTTGATCACTTATTTTTCCTGGAGGTGGGAGCTTTTTTCCCCTACATTACCCAGGAAGAGACAGCAAACGTGGCCATATAGCCAAGCTACAAGCATACCCCATAATATTCCACCCTGGAGACAAGAGCCAATAACAGCTGCTAAGCGTTACACACGAAAAGGAAAGCCTATCTACTGATCATATCCACCAGGAGACATTCAGTAAGCTTAATAATACAGCCACAAACATCCATTTAAGCATTAAAACCCACTTAAGTACTAGAAATGGCCAAAAAATACAACAAAAGATCTCAAAACATGTACATAAAGAGAAAAGAGTAACTGAGACAAACGAGCTGGACATAGACAAAGGCTCTCCAGAAGAGAGGAGAGCAGGTTTTGGATTTCCCTGAGAAGGAATTCAGAAGAATGATATGGAAACAAATACAGATGCTCCAAAAATAAGGAAGACGTCAGTAAAGTACTACAAGAGCAATCAAACAAGATTGATACAGTATTAGAAACAATTCAAAACCTGCAAAATAGAGGTCCAGATGATTAATAATAATATATCAGAAATGGACAATACACTGAACTAGCAAGCTGGAAGACAAACCTCTCAATACTGACTGCTAAGACAGACGAGAAAGCAGAAAAAAGGATTTAAAAAATCTGAAGACAGTCTAAGGTTCATGCTGCATAACATGAAGTGTGCATTATTATTACTGGCATACCGGAACAGGAAGAATCACAGAAGTCTACAGAGGAGATAGTTGAAGAGCTTCAGGAAGAAAAGTTCCCTAACATCTTGAAAGATGAGCAGATAAACATTGAAGAAGCCAAACGTACCCCAGGAAGGATAGACTCCAAAAGAAAATCACCAAGACATATAATAATCAAGCTCTCCAAAATCAAAGACAAGAGAGAATCCTAAAAGAGGCCAGGGAAAAGGGAAGTGTTACTTACAAAGGCAAACAAATCAGATTAAGCTCTGACTATTCTGTCATGCTGTGGTGGCTTGAGTTGCTGTGATTCTGAGGGTTATGCCATCGGTATTTTCAATAACCAGCAGGATCAACCATGGTGGACAGGTTTCAGACTAGCTTCCAGACAAAGACAGACAAGGAAAAAAAAATGACGAACTACTTTCGAATCGCTAGTCACTGAAAACCTTATGAATAGCAGAGAAACACTATCAGATACAGAGCCGGAAAATGAACCCCTCAGGTTGGAAGGCACTTGAAATGCGACTGGGGAAGAGACACCTCCTCAAAGTAGAGCTGACCATGATGACGCGAATAGAGTTAAACTCGGGGAAGAAAAGCCCACAGAACATTCATTTGCTGATGGGTCACAACTCAAAATGAAGAGAAACAGCTGTAAACATCCACTGAAAATTGGGACATGGCATGTACGAACTATGAATCTGGGAAAATTGGAAGTTGACAAAAATGAAATG